TTATCTAGGTTTCTATGATTCAAATTAAAATGCTTGTAATCAATACTATTTAATCCAGCTCTATCATATATCAGCCGTTGTTAAGGTTATAAAACATTAGCCATAGAATAAAATTTGGGATTTGGGCATTTTCTCTAAGACAACCACCTGCCTTAGGGTGTTAAAGCTTATATGCAAATCCAATTACATTGGCATTAATATGTTCTGCAAAATAATATGAATATTATTTCCTCTTGGATGTTCCACAAGGAAGCTGAACGCGGCATCTCTCTTTCTGCTGCAGCTGCAGCCTTAATGTAAATCCTATCACGGACATTCATCTTCTCTGAGAAATGACTAGCGCTCACACACACTCACACACACATATCAATTCCTTTATTTTTGTCCGAATTTCCATCGTTCAGCCTTTCGGCTCAACAGATGCTTAGATGATTGGTGACTTATTCTAAACTTAACAATTAAGAGTGGGGAAACTCATCGAGCACCGCCAGAAGACACTGGGAGATGACATTAAATTCTCAAGTTATTTATTTCTATTCAAAGGTGGAAAACCAGTTTAAGAATGAATGAATGGGGGTTATCTTTTTTTATTCTCGGGGAGGGAGGGTTATCTATACCGAGGTTGTAAAAGAATGGACCGGTTATATAAGGTAGGAGGAAGAAGAAATTGTGGGATGTGAGTATTATTTGCTCTTCTATTGGTTTGAAGTTGAAATCGGAATGGAGAGTTGCGTTCGGACAAACGTAACCTCCTCAGCCCCGATTCCCCGGGTGCTCCTCGCGACCGTCGCGCGCAGCCGAGAGCGAAGGCGCCGGGGGCCGGCGGGGTGGGGTTCCACTTTCTGCGCGCGCGGGTGGCTGCGCCGATAAGCGCGCGTCGCTGCGCCCCCCCCCCCCCCACCGCTCCCTGCGCTCGGCGCTTCCGTATCACCGATATACCCGTTCCCCCCCCCCCCACCGCCCCGTTGCGTATTGTGTTTCGAGAACCGCGCCTCTCCCCCCCCCCCCCCGTCGATTAGCCCAGCGGCGACACAGTTCGCGAAACGCGCAACCGCCCGCGCCGGCGCAGGAGGGACAAGCGCTCCCCTGCCCGCTCGCTGCTTGCCCTCGGGACACCGCGCGCCTCTGTCCCTTATTCAAGCTTTTAGGGGAATATGTCGATACATAATATTTTATTGTATATCTTCTATCAATTCTCAAATTACCATTCAAGGTCCGGGAGGGGTGGCTCAGCGCACCACCCGATGACACTGCAGTGCCTCTGACCGGGAGGTCCTAGGTTCGAGTCCCGACGGTGACAGGATTTTCGACACTAGTTTTATCGACACGATAATGAAGCCTGGGATAACATTTAATACAATTTTAAAGCAACAAACTACAAGATAATATATTTAAAAAACATTAAATTAAGTTGTAGAGATGTTTAAATTTAGGTGAAAAGGAAAATATTCAATAAAAGCTACTGAATGTAAATCTTCGAAGTTGAGAGTAGCTGTGGTATCATGTTAACAAAACCTACAAAACACTAGTTGTTAGACAAAATTATTACTTGCGAGGTAGTTATGTAGCAAAGTATTGAAATGCTCATTTCGTTAATTATTAACTAAGAAGTAAACTTGAAAATTTCAATCGGTCTTCAAATAGCTCCAAAACATGTAGTGGTGTCATCTTTTATAAGCGAAATCGGGCGCCAAAACCTCTTTCATCGAACTCTTGAAAGTATTCGGGCCGTCCCCGTATCCACCTCGGCCTGCGAGAAGGCTTCTCAGAGCTCTCGCTTTCTCAATTGCCGCAGCATCAAATCAAAGGCAGCACTCCGCAATCGCATTTGAGATGTTTTTGAGCCGCAAAGCACCATTTAAAATGTACATGTAGCTGAGAGTAAATAAAATGAAATGTAAGACGAACTTATCGCTTAATTCTCCTTAAATGGTATGGTGAAACACATCTCCTAAGTTCACCTTAAAATTCTTAAGACGAATGAAAAATTTCAAGTAATGGTGGTGAAATAGGTCGTGTTTTTTAAATCGGCTCTTAAGAAACACTTTCAAAATTTGAAGCTTGGAAATAATAAGTAGTAATGGAAAAAGTGGGGTTTATCATTGTACATCTGTTACAAAGGTGAATATATTGTTAAGAGGTTTCGTCTGAATGTGCAATGCATCGTTCTTGGATGAGCTACCGCCGAAGATAGTGCTGATCTCACCGTAACACTCACTTCCGTGAACGAATCTTGACTATTCAACTGAATGCAAAGTTTCCTCTCGAGATGCATCAGTGTGCAGTGTAATCGAAGCACAATATTAAAATTTGGTGGTTGAACTCCACGTCCTGCAGGCAACATCGTTGCACACTCGTTGAAGTCGGGGTGGAATCATGACCGGGGAAATAATCACAAGTTTTAGAATAAAGAATCGTGCACTTTATGCTTGTTTCCTATACTGTTCGAGTAATATCTTTAATCACTCGCCAAATACACTGTCATCTTAATGTAATTTTTGCAATCGACATAGAAATGCTTATTATATTATTTTCTACTTCATGTAGGCAAGAATACGAACTACTTTTACTTATACTTTACTATTACTACATAAGCTTCTCTATTGTTTCTTACGCACAATAATACTTTCCATGCGCGCTATTTATGTGCTTCAATAAGTGCTCGCGTTAATATTTGGAGTCATTTTGCAATATGTCATATATTTCGTGCACATTTTTTCATTATTCGTGTAATCGAACTGAAATAACACAGAATCGTGCAATAACCATGCCTTCGCTTGATATAAATCATCCTCCGCGACATGACAACTCGACCAAAAGGGAATCTTGCGCTCCGAATGTCTCTAGAGATGCTGTGTTAGTTTCGAGGTCTCCATCTCTTGAAGAGAGCGCTGCATTCCGGGGCGCCTGCAGCCGGTGTCAGGGCCCCGCGCCGACGTCACCACGCGGCGCCTCTTGCTTCCTGTTTGACGTCATGAATATCAGGATATCGAAGAAAAAGCAGACGATTATTTCCCTTCGGCTCCAGAATTTCTTAGAAGGAAAATAAAAGCAGAAATAATTCAGTAATGGGTTTCCCAGTTTGGACTTTGTTTACAATTATCTGCTGATTTTCAATGTGAATTTTCTAAAATGACATATCTCAATATTTCGGTTTTGAGGTTACGTGAAATTGATAATATGCTAGGGTAGTCGTACTTGTGTATATAATGTGGCATAAATAAAAAAAAATATTCAGAGCTCTTTTGATACTCATGATCCTATAATTTCTACGGCTGAAAGATTGTCACAAAACAAGGCAAATGTTAAAAAGGTTAACTTAGCAATGTAGAATAATATTTTTTATAATATATTTTCTTTGCTTTGAAACTTCAACGTATCAAAACTTCGCTTGTGACAGTTACAGAGATTTAACTTTGTTTGCCTTTGAGGGGAAAATTGTTTTCAGAATAGTTTAGAAGAGTCTGAGAATTTAGACATTTAAATGAGCAGTTGATACTTTATTCTTTTATTGCCGCAGAGTCGTGAAAGTATTTAAGTTTGCATTCCTGAGTAGTTTGGTTTTCCTATTTAAGGCTCTGCGACTTATTGGATATACAAAGTAAGTAGGAACCTCAGGTCATTCCCATTTCTGACTAAGATCCTTCTGTTTTCTTCTTCGGGTCTTTTGTGCACCTGAGACGTCTGTAGCATTGGAATGCTACAGGAAGTTGATTCTTGTGATGTTTCGAAATCCTGCTGTCTCCATGTTAGTTGTTTGTTTCTAGACGTGTTGTAAGAAAATTCTGTGCGTTTGACATTTCTTTGTTAGTAGAATGACTCTCACGAAATTCATTTCTTCTTAAGTTGAGTAGTAATGTAATTTTGATTTTTCTCATCTGAGCCTTTCTCATCCGAGTCTTGCATTGATGTTGAGGGAAGGGGAAAGTGATCACCATTGCTGTCTTTATTTCTCTCGCACAACCGTAAGGTCTGTCTAACCTGGATTTGGAGATGAGACCGCAAGGCTTGACGGTGTGTGTATGTGGGGCATGATTGAGATTTTTGATAAAAACAAACACGTGGGTTTAGGAAATAAATATATTTACCATGACGTACATATATTATACTTTTTAAAGATTCCATAGGTTTTTGCAGTATTGCTTTAATAAAGCTGTGATAGGTGAATGATTACAGAATATATCAAAAATATCAAGTTAAAATTTCAAAAAAATTGATACTTCCTCATTACATATCATTCAACTTCTGAAAAGAATGCAGCTTGTTATACTGGAGAATTCGAACATTTCGGTGGATTCGGATGACTGAACTTCTTCCCCTTTCTGTAGTGTCCAGGCCTAATTATTCTGAAAATTTTCCTTCTCAAATCTCAGACATTTTATTTGGGCCCTTTTGTAAGACAAAACTATTGTTTAAATAACTGTGAGTATGAAAGACATTTGAAGAACTTGGTGAACCCAAAGACTGATGAGAAATGAAGTCCTGTTTACATTTCTGAAAACTTTAATACACTAGAATTTTATGTTCAAAATTAATTAAATAACAAACATATTTGCGACACATCAGCCGTCAAAACATATTTGCGACACACATCAGTTCACATTCTTTTCTTTTTTACAATTTCTTTGCAATGTTGTTTTTATAATTTAATAATATAAAATATACTATCTGTTTTTACTAAGACTTTTAGCAAACTTGAGCCGACAGTTTTTTGATAAAGACGCCAATTAGGGTCTAAATATCAACTCAATAACTTTATTTAAAACGTAATATTTATGGTATGTTATAATAAAAGGTCAGAATACTATTACAATTAAAGTCAAACAATCCATCAACTTAATTTGGTTTGAATATTCCAAAAATCACTTTCAAATACTAGGAAATTATACGAAGTTGAGTCCTGAGCTAGGGCACGGGTTAAGACAGCTCGGCCTGGCGCAAGTGGCCGGGCGAGGGCGAGGGCGTGGGCGTGGGCTAAAGGGCCGGGCTGCTGCCTGCAGGTGTCGAGCGGGACGCTGGCGGGCGTGCTGGCGGTGCGGCCCGACCGCATCCAGGCGGTGGACATGGACTCGCTGGACGCGCCCGTGCGCTACTCCTTCCTGAGCGGCGCGCCCGCGACCTACGCCGACTACTTCGCCATCGACGCGGCGACGGGCGCCGTGCGGCAGGTGCGCGCCGTCGACACCGCCGTCGCCAAGAGCTTCGACATCATCGTCAAGGTGAGCGCGCGCTTATTCTCCTCTCCAGAGCCGGAGGGGGAGGCTGGGGCCCCTCTCCCTCAACGTTTTCAAACAGGCACCATTGTTTGGCGTAAAAAATTGTTATTTCCCTAAGTATGTTCAAACCCATATTTATCATTTTAAACCGTGAAGATTTGGGGAACAAGACCTTTGGAGATGGGCTCTTCAGGCCAACAGGCAACTCTGTGAGTGGTTAAACGCAAAAGGAATTGTATTAATTAAAGTCATAATGTAATTCTCCTCGTAGTGTGTTTCATTTATTTGTTGATAAAATATGTCACGTGTAAATTAAAAAAAAATAATGAAAAAGGGGGTTTAAAATTCAAGTTGCTTCCTCTTGATTTGAACTGCGTACGTCTGTGTCCATAACTACAATCTTGCAAGAATTATTGTCCATTATTCACCAAGATTTACAGATGTACGTACGTATTTTAAGAATGTAATATGCCACACATCGCAAACTAATCGATAACTAAAAAAATAGATTAATAAATATTTCCCTTAAAAATTGATAGCGTACTTCATACTACTTTTTCTCACTTTCTCAATGTAATAACATTTATTCTTTGATTCGTTCTACCTCGAGTTATGTTCACAGCACTCAATGTGTAGGTTTTTCAATGAATCGTTTTAACATTAAGTGATAATTTTTTCTAAATCTGGAGTAACTTTCACGGCTGTAAATGTTTATAAGTCGTCTTTTTCATAGCCCTCCGTCTGCATCTTCATATAAAGTAAATTTCCAAAATTCTCTAAGAAACTTTGTGGCCTCTTCTAATCGAACGCTCTGCGCGTCGCGTCGCGTCGCGTCGCCAGGCGGAGGAGGACACGGCGACGCGGCGCTTCGCCACGGCCAAGCTGGTGATCACGGTGAAGCCGGTGGACACGTCGCCGCCCACCATCACGGCGTCGGCGCTGGAGGGCTTCGTGGACGAGAACGCGCCCAAGGGCACGCGCGTGCTGGACGGCGACGGCGCGCCGCTCACGCTCGCCGTCTCGGACGCCGACCTGGTGAGTCTCGCCCCGCCGCCTCGTGGCGCCGAAACGATGACCGTGACGAAACTGGTGACGAGCTACACAACTCGATCAAACTACCATTTTTCTATAATATTTTTATATCTAAAATTATTTGTCTAGTTATCAAAGCGTCTCGTCATTGGTTCCCACACTTAAGACACATGTTTCTGCATCAAACATTTTTTTATGTTCTTTCTCCGACTAAAATAATTTTCAGTCATCTCTTGTTTCTATTCACCCGTCGACTTGCACATTTTGGGTGTTTGTTTCCCGTTTGCGTGGTGCCAAAGATTTTCATTCTACATCTTACTTGATTGCATCTGAAATGCCATACCTCCCTTTGTCTCGTCCTGTCCCCTCCGCCCCTCCGCCTTGTTCATCTCACTTTACCAGAGTCGAAAGCGCCTCACTGGCACTCGCTGTATCTCGAGAGCATGCAAGTGGAGTACGCTGAGGCTCCAAGCGCTGACTCCCTTGAACAAACAGTCTTCATCTTTCCAAGCACTCTCTTCTTCTGTTCATGGCTTTATTCTGCCCCAATCAACGATATGGAAATGGATGAAATGGCACAATGAGATATCAGATTATAAGACATTTTCAAACAAATCAAACTGGTAGCTAACAAGGTTTTAAAAAGGCAGACATCGCGATGAATTGGAAAACAAATTCTTCAACAGTAAAGCTAGTTGTAGCCACGGCTGTCTTGTCAACGGCTTGTGGAAGATGTCATTACCAGAAGTAAAATATAAAAGTAAAACGTAAAAGTTAGTACAAATCGAAAAAGTTGCACATCTTTTTGTAAATTTGAAGTCTTAATTACTTGTTAATTGATGCCTCTGGAAAGATAAACAACTGTACTAAATTTGTGACTTCAGTTGAGTTATTTTTCTCCTTGCAGAACAGTATTCACCTTATAGTATAATACTCACCCGCTGTGATTTGTATTCTTAAACAAACACACACACACACATACTTTCACACGTACGTACTTTCAATTATTTTAACTGTCGAATACTCACAAAAACAATATTGTCAAGTACATTAAAAAAGAACCTGGTTGAAACTTTTATAAGGCGCTGCCGTGCTATTCCAAACATATTCACATTTTTTGTTATTTAAAAATACAGAATACTACACGTTATTTAAAAATACATTACACTATTCGTAGTCCTCACGTAGGAGATATTTTCAACCATTTGAGTAATTAATAATTCGCTAATAAAATTGTCTCGGTCAGTTTTTCCAATGCCAAAATATGATTTGAAATGTATTTTGCGTATTGATTATAATTCCATTTAACAGTGAATTGTAACCGGGAATTGCACTTCAGACGTGTTTTTATTTTACGTGTCCAAGTGGAATCGGTAGATTCAGTAGACGAGGCCCGTAATTCCATGTCAGTGGCAAGAATGAGATCAAAGTGCATCTCACAAAGAATAAAATCAAACAACCGAAGGGCGCTACTAACTTCAGGGCCGGAAGACAAAGCGAAGAAAGCGTATGCCATAAACCTTCGCCACATGTTGGTGGCTACTCACGGCAAATACGGCGCCGCCTCCACGCGTCTGTCGCACATGGAGTCGACGGCGTGTGACGCATTCTTCAGGACTCTAGGGTATGTCTTAGCACGGAGAAAGGATTGCGTGTACCTAGTATTTTATGGTCTTACTTATCGTTCGATATTTTTGACCATTGTTCTGTAATACATTGGCCATGTTGTTTCAGATAATGGGTGCCATTGAAAGAAAAAAAAAAAACTTACGTAGCCGTTCTTAAATTTTTTTGTCTATCTTCTCATAATTAATATTCAATGCACTCCTGTTAGACTCATGCAAACATTTCATTTTATGTTCCACTACTTTATATTGTCTTAATTATTTGAGAGAAAAACTGAGAATATGTTTTTTACTGCATGAAGAAATTTTAAAAACATGGAAAGATGATTAAAGATGGTAGACTGGATTTTGTCTCTGGTCAGACAGTGAGTGGACAGTTAGATTTCTATTATGTATACTAGTTGGGCGTTAATAACATCCGTTTAGACATCGAGAAAACTCGCACGCCACCGCTGTGAGGTGGCATTTAAACGAAGCACTGTTTTACGTGAGCTGCATTAATACGAAAAACACGTCACTGCGTCTACTCTTGCTGACTCCATGCACAGGCATTCCAAGAGAGATTCTCAATACATTTTTTTTGTTATGAGTGGAATATGCGGATACTCAGATATGTACAAATTATGCAATTGGCCCCTAGATTTTGGAATGTTAAACTTTCTCAAACGGGACGGAATTCATAGCATCTCAAACATTTATGGCATTTACAATACGCATTAAAAATAATCAACGGCACGCCACTTGATGAAAGATATTTACACTACTTCATAACTATAAGACGATGTAATCTTTTTAACATCATCACATATCGCTTTACATTCTCGTACAAAGTGTGTGTGAGTGAATGTTAGGAATAAGCAAAACTTTCAAACAAACACAAACATGGTTAGGCGGAAGAACAGACTCTATGGCCTGAGCATCGGCATTAATAAAGACATTATTATTATTATTATTATTATTATTATTATTATTATTATTATTATTATAATTTTGCAGAACTGCAGAATTTTCAGCAGAAGGGAAGTATGTTTATAGACACCGAAAACGAACTTGAACAATTTAAACTATTCTATTTATTTCACCGAACGGAATGTTAATTTTCCCTTATACGGGCAAGAAGAAACACATTTGAAACAAGTAATTGAGAGTATTACGGCTGAAACATATGGGAACGAGGAATAATATCGAGGGTCAACCAAAAAGACTCCCTACTGATTTTAACGATTTAAAAAGTTATTTTATTGGAAACTATATACAATATGTATTAATAACAAAACAATAAATAGATAACAAATATTTAAATAATAAACTCGCTATTTTTAATTTGTAAACTCGAAATTCTTAGGAATGGAATTTCTTCGTTAAAAAAACTCAAGTGTGGAGTGCTCCATATTAACCATAATAACCTTTCCCTTACTGTGTTCTTATAGAATTGTCCCGATCTCAAATACGATTGCGTGAAATATTTTCAACGTTCGATCGATGATCTAATGTTTGTTCTGGAATAGTACTCTAGAAGCGCACTGCTCAGCAGCCAATAAGAGCGTTCTGCGCTTACGAGAATTGCTCAGCACTGGACTTCTGTTTGCACAAGGGAGCGCTAGCAGCTCTGCCGGCGATCAGGAGATGCATTTCTCGTTCTGAGTGCTGCCGACGAGAAGAACACCCACAGCGCCGTCTGTTGAGTGCAAACAAGATATTTTTAGTTCGTTCGGACAAGAATCAACTGAAGAGGCACCGTTATTGTTAACCAAAAAAGTAAAAGGAGCTTCGGGTCCTTTAACCGACAATTTATTTAAAACCCTTTTCCAGATTTGTTGTTGGAGAAAAAAAACCCACTGAGCATTGCAGTAACAAAAATCCTTTCTTGTTTATTTATTTGTTCAGATTAATTAGGGATGATCGAATTTGATTGTTCGATTTTTCGTTCAACTTTTCAACCCAACTTGTGAGGAAATCCTTTCATTATTTTCTATGAGGCTTCTTGGTTTCCGGCACAGATACAGTACAACAATGTATCGACCTTAAATTGCGTCTCCGAAAAAACTTGATGTTTCTTTGTTTTCTAACTGCGCTACCAAATTTAAGACCTTTTTTGTTATTACTATTATTGTCAATTTCAAATAAGCATAATCGTAAATTAGTATTCAGGCAGCTGCTTGATAGATAATAGAACATGATGGAGTTATGAAAGAGTAAAAAATGTCTATTTAACACTTCCGCAATTAGGTATAATTTTCCCATATTTGCTTTAAGTTCTCATGAGTCACGGTCAGACTACGTGCTAATTTTATCAACCCGCACAGTGGCGGTAAACAATTTTTACGCGACCTGGAATAAAAGTAAAAGGTGTGTGATGACGATCGTGTTAAAGCTTTCCCGACATTCGCCTTAACGGCAGAGCTTGCATGACGGACCAACTCGTGAAACGGCCTTTATAGGTCAAAATGGGGCGATATATTGGTACTCCACCCGAGGAAACCATTAGTAAAAGCGATGTACTATGAACTCCAATTGTGTGTAGCTCTGCTTGTGCTCGATTCAGACGTGCGTTCCGCTTTAGAGATAAGATTTTGCGTAAGATTTGCCTACGATTATCAGTATAATAGTAGGCAAGTTACGATTTGCCTACGATTATCAGTATATTAGTAGCATAAATAGTTTCTTGCCCGCAACTCGATTGTTGCCTGGGAGGTCCTAGATGTGAGTTCATGTAAAGGAATTTCGACACCAGTTGAGCCCAGTGATTGGAATGACACCGCCGGCGGCACGAGAATTCTAGAGGTTTTTCTGTTGGGCAATGAACATAGCTTCCTCGGTGGGTGCCGAAGCAGTGCCTAAAAAGCGGGCCACGCACTGCGTGCAATCCTTTCTTCCCCATGTGCCCCTCCGTGCATTGGGGATGAGCCATTGGCTGACTCCCCATCCCCGCACGACCCATTCCCCTCGTTGCAAGAGCAGGGGTGTCCATCTTCCAGAGCCCGAAGAGCCAAAACAAAAAACCTTTCATTCCTCGGACGATCCACACCTGACTTCACTGAAACGTCCATTTCAGCACTTTTCCCGGCTGCTCTGCAGGGCGAGGGGGATGGCAACATGCATGATGTCAGGCCATATCGTGCATAAGGTAGTGAAACACATTGGGATGATTTTGATTTTCTGAGTTTAGTAGAAAAAAATCATAACTCTAAAGTTCACCAATTTTCACATTAAAGGGGTGTTGACCCCTTTAATGGCGGAGTGCGTGGGCTGGCCTCGCCCGAAGTCGTTGCACGTGACAAGCCAAAGGCTGTCAATTGCGCGCGTGCGTGCGTGTGTCGGCAGGGCCCCGACGACCCCAAGCCCGCGTACGCGTTCGAGCTGACGACGCCGTTCTTCGCCGTGGACGAGGCGGGCGCGCTGGTGGTGGACGAGGAGAAGCTGGACCGCGACCCGCCGTCGCCGGGCAAGTTCCGCTTCCAGGTGGTGGCGCGCGAGCGCGGCGGGCCCGCGGCGTCGGCGCCGCTGTCGCTGGCCGTGGCGCTGCGCGACGTGAACGACAACGCGCCGCAGCTGCCGCACCTGCCGCCCGTGGCGGTGCCCGCGGGCGAGGGCCGCCGCCACGTCGTCAGGGTGAGCAAGCACCTTTGCCTTTGCCTTTGCCTTTGCTTCAAGTAGTTGAGGGCGGGAGAGCTTTTTCTTAATTGTACCAAAGAACTGTTAAAACATGGCGCACATCTCATTTTCGTTGAAATCTCTCAGTTTTCCAAATTGCAAAAGTTTGAACATTTCCGCATGTTCCTACAACTGCAACATTCAAGATAGAGGTTTTTTTAAGTACATAAAATGTTAATCTTGAAATTAACGGGGCGGAGCAGGGCGGGGTGTAAATTTACTTCCGTTTTCTCCCTAATAGAACGGAGGGCTCTTTGAATTTATTCCCGTCCAATAAATGTTTATTTAAATGTTGATTTTTAAAGCAAAATTTATATGAAGGTACTCTGTTTCATTCGTTATGATATAAAATGGTGATGTACCTTCTTGTTAAAGTCATGTATATCAGAATACCTTCAGATTCATTATATTTTATGTCAAAACAAAGTTTTTAATTATGTATGAACATTTAAAAAAAAGTTGTGATTGTGTTTTTTAGGTGGAAGCAACAGATAATGACTTAGGAGAAAATGCAGAGATTACATACTCCATTTTTCACGTCAGTAATAATGGGCGACAACGTTTCAAGATTGATCCACAAACTGGAGACATTGAAACTGTTGGCAAGCTGAGTGCAGGAGAGCAATATAGTATTACTGTGCAGGTTAGTCATCTCTGTTTCTGACAGCTTGCCAAATTCTGCATCTACTCAAATTTTGAATGTTTGCCAATTATGTCCTAAGGAAAAGATGGGCTGGATTGGAACCAGACAGTGAATCACAGGATCTTCATTTAGACTGATGAATTGCTCTCCTTGGTGTAGTAATTTATTTGTGCTGTGCATGAAGTACTTGAATTTATGCTTTGTCTTTGATTGTTTGCCAAAAGGTCGTAGGTAGTCATTTTGTATAACTTCATGCACCATTCCCCCTTCTGCTTTTCCAAAATATTATTTCGTTTGAATGGAAGACACTCATTTGCTACTTTCATAAAAGTATTTGAATAAGAAAGTTGAAAAGAACTCTTTATCATAAAAAAAAGGTTAAATCTTGCTTGCTACAATGGAAAAGTATCCACCGAACGGTTGCAATTTATTCATGTTTAAACCATTGAAAATGACTGTGAAACATCATTCCATCAGCAACTGTAGTATAATAAGCAGTACAATAAGTTAGATAAATTATTGGAATAAGGAAAATATAATTTTATTGGAATACAATTTTTCTGTTGTCATAATTTTGCATTAAAAATTGTCCTTCTTATATTACTTGTACTAAATTTTCTTACTCAAAACTCACTTTTAACAATATTCAGAATTTAAAGCATATTGTTTTAAAATTATTTTTATAATGAATTTATTCTTATATTAATTTACTAGTTCATGAAGGTCGAAAATACAGTTAAAAAACTATCTAATGTATGAAGAAGACAACATTTTTATTAATAAATGACAGTTTGTTGACATTGAATTTGAATGTTAAATTTCCTGTCATTATTGTTAAATAATTCAATGTTTTTATTATTATATTCCTACAAACAACAAAAAATTAATTATTAATATTATTTTTTTAAATTGAATATTGAAAGGAGTTAGCTGACTAAAGTCATGTTTTTATTGCAGGCAACAGATAATGGTGGCCTCTTGAGTCAGAGTATTGTTGAAGTGCAAGTCGTGCCAGGCCCCAATACTCGCAGCCCTGTGTTTGAACAACCTGTTTATGAAGTACAAGTTAGTGAAGGGGCTGCAATCAACTCAACAGTTGCAACTATAACAGTGAGTCTTCATAAGTGTTCTTGAGGAAGGATTTGAAGAAAATATTAAATTAAATTAAATATTAAATTAATATGACAATATTATCATTTATAATATCATATTAAAAAAGAAATGCTGCTTTTTCCACTAATGAGTGTAAACAATGGAAACAGAACCTAAATATTTAAAGCTTTATAAATTTGTGAGAGGCTCCTATTTTTTTTCACTTTATTCCATCATACTAAAATAGTTATAACGAAGTGTTAAAATAGTATTACTAATGAAAATATATTTCACGTAATTTTTTGTGAATAGGCGATTGATCCAGAGAAAGATCCTGTGACCTATTCTATTGTTTCGGGGAATGATCTCCGACAATTTACTATTGGTGATAGAACTGGTGTTTTAAGTGTCATTCGAAAACTGGATAGAGAGGATTTGACTCGATATCAGCTGGTAAGTGTTCCCTTATTTTTAAATTAAAAAATTGTAATTCACAAATTGAGAACTCTCAACTTGCTCATCTGTGTGTTATCTTAAAAATAATATAGAAAGTTGATGATGTATCTTAATAATTTGAAACTTTTTAATTAGTTGGTGAAGGCTGAAGACACTGGAGGACTATCCAGCACAGCAACTGTTAACATTCGAGTTACTGACATCAATGACAAGAATCCTGAGTTTGTGAATGATCCCTACAGTTTTACTGTCCGTGAAGGTGTGGAAGGAGCAAAGGTTGGAGTGGTCCATGCAGTGGATGCTGATGAAGGAGCAAATGCTGTAGTATACTACAGTGTACCTGATGATGTTCCTTTTGTAGTAGATGCTATGACAGGGGAAATCCGCACTAAAGTAGCTCTGGATTATGAGAAAAAGCAGGTAATGCTAGTTCAGCCAAGTAGCTGAATAAAATTCAATGTATAACTACACCAATGAATAATTTTTAAGCTATAGTTGTCCAGTGCAACATTATTTACTGCTACTTCTATGGAATTATTTTTAAACCCAATCTACTTTTTTGTTCCAGGAACATAGATTTGTTGTAACAGCCAAAGATGGTGCTCCTGATCCTCGCCTTGCAACTGCCACAGTCACAGTGGCAGTTCAAGATGTGGAAGATGAGTTGCCTATATTTCATATTTTAAATTATCCTGCAAGAGTACCAGAAAACATGCCAGACTTCTTGGTAACACAAGTTCAAGTGAGTTGTTAGTGATAATCAGTAATTTCTGATTATTTATTTCTTCTGAATTTTATTAGAAACCTATTTTGGTTTTGAAAAATGTTATCATAATACTCAATTGACTGAACATCCATTTTCAGGCAGATGATCCAGACACTAACCAGCAAGTTACATATGAAATTCGGCAAGGCCCCACTGATTTGTTTAGAATAGATCCTCGAACAGGTGCTATTCATACAATTCGCGGTCTTGATTATGAGCGTGAAAGTCAATATGTTATGATCATTGGTACAAGAGAAAATCCTGGCTCCAAGCCTGGAGATACAACTCGCGTTGTAGTGGACGTTCAGGTATTGTCCAATGTTTATTTTTTATGCATTCCCACTAAGCTGTATATATTATTCAGTATTTATTTTATATCAATTAAATGCTATGTAAGTTTAACATCTTAACTGTAATTTGAATGTTGTCAAATTTATGGTACAATTAAATAACAATATTTTATAGGATCGCAATGATATACCTCCAGTATTTACTACTGTTCCACGCCCTGTGACTCTGTCAGATGATGCTCCCATTGGCACAACTGTCAGTAAGTTACTTGCAACAGACTCTGATGGGACCGCCCCAAACAACAAGGTGACTATTTTCCTTTAGAAGATGTGCTTTTCTTGTTAATTATTAGAAGGCTAACCCATTCTTTTTGCATTTTTTAGGTACGATATGAGCTTATTGGTAGAGGTAAAGCAATCAAATTCTTCCAAATTGATTCAGATACGGGTGTCATTACAGTAAGAGATTCCCTTAGGAAAGAAGCTCTCACTGAGTATTTGGTAAGAGAAGGATTATTCTTTCTAACAATGTATTACTTATATTGCAACTTCACTTCACATTAAACATTATTTCTTATATTATTAACAGTTGGAAGTGAAGGCTTATGATTTGGGAGACCCTCGGCTATCATCTCAAGTGCAAGTTCAAGTGTTTGTTCGACACCAAACTACTCCTCCGCCAGGTCAGAAGGGAATTGCTTTTCCTGATGATACTTACACTGCTGAGGTGCCAGAGAATGCAACAGCTGGAACGCTCATCAAAGCCCTTACTATTGTAAACGGTCCATCATCACCAAATGAAGTGCCACTAGGATGCAATATCACTGCTGGAAATGATGATGGTATGACCAAAAATAAAATTATGTAACAAAGTGCATTCATTTATTTTTATTGGTTGATATGGAAATATATTTTTTGGTCGTGTTAAAAATTTTAAAATAATTAAGATCTTATAATTTATGCTCAAGTGTGTAACAAAGTCCTACTAGGGTGATTTCTATTAAAGGTCTTTTTGCTGCCACTATAAGTCCCAATGGTCGCAGCTGTGAAGTCAGATTGCAGCGAGGAGAGTTGGACCATGAAACATCTACTTCCTACAAGTTAACAATTGCACTGCAAACTTTAATGGGTCTTATAGATCCAATGCATCGGACATCTCAGGTATTTTCCTCATGAACAAAATAGTTTTCCATATTGTTTATTTCAACATAGCATATTTTTCTCCTTATCTTTTTTATTGTTTTAGTTTATTACTTAACATTATGTGCTGGAAAAAGGCAATTGAATAGAGTTTTTGTGAAGATTATTTTAGTCTACATTTTCTAAGTTAACTTGTCACTTTTTTGTCAATTTATTCACAAATGAATGTTTTGAGAATCTTGCTAGATGCTCACCCTTGCCAAGGCATTCTTTAGACTTAGAATACAATATACACACACATCTACTTACCACACTTATTTCTGATCTGCTTATAGCTCAAGGTTCAGGTTCTGGACATCAATGACAACACACCTCGTTTTATTTTTCCTGAGGACAGTGCAGTATTGTCTCACGGAAAATACTATGGAGCAGTTGCTGCAGATGCACCCATTGGAACATCTGTTATTCAAGTAAAAGTAAGTATTTTCCTCTGTATGAAATACTATGTATGGGAATTAATTTAAATAAAATTATGAAACTAACAAACAAGTAATTAATTTAAAATTTCAATTTTGACTTCATTCTCTGGCACAATAATAATAATAATAATAATAATAATAATAATAATAATAATAATAATAATAATAATAATAGTAATAATAGTAATAGTAATAATAGTAGTAATAATAATTAATCCTGATTTTTAATTTTTTGAAACTAATATATTTTCAATTCAATATTTACTTCAATATTTGCACATCTGTAGGCATTGAACAAGTATTTTATAGGTAAACACGCTGGCTTCATTGAGCGTCCATCTTTGAAGTAAATAATCGTCGGTGTTCTGTTTCATAATCGGAAGATTTGTCTATAAAATTTTGGGCGATAGTTTTGAATGATATGACGACCTTCTTAGGAAAAATGTAGAAGTATAGGATTTGAAAGTTTGGTTTAACAGTTCTTTCATCACCATAATCACAGATAAAAGCATTCTTGTCGTTAAATAAATAAATTTGTGAACCCCCTTTTTTCCATAGGCTTAATTTACAAATATATTGGGAAGTGTTATTATTTATATTTTATTTATTTTTATTCATATTTTTAAAAAGGAAAGTTTGGACAATTTCTATATTTTGTCTACATTGGGCTCTGTAATTGATGACTTGCGCACAAATTAAACTAGAACACGTGTTGCGTATCTCATAATTTACGAATAAAATAGAAAAGGGGATTATATCGTTGTTTCTTTAACGACTGCTGAGGTTGGCCAGCAGTGGTAAGGGCCGCTGGGCGGTGTGTGCAGGCGGAGGACGCGGACTCGGGCCCGCGCGGCGCCGTGCAGTACGCGCTGGTGGCGGCGGGCGCGGGCGCGGGCGAGGGCGCCGACTTCTTCGCCGTGGACGCGGCGTCGGGCGTGGTGAAGACGCGCCGCCTCCTGGACGCGAACGCGCTGCCCGAGGCGCGCCGGCCGCTGCGCTTCGCCGTGGAGGCGCGCGACGGCGGCGACAACGGCCTCGACCGCCGCGCCGCGCAGGTGCCCGTCGTGGTGAGTCTTGCTCTGCGCAGTGCCAGGCGAATGCCTCTCACTGCTCGCAAACACTGCATTACTGCACATGGCGGAAGGCCATCTTGACTGATGCAATGTTTTAGTGATTCCGGACACGTCAACTAGCAGGGTAATTAGTCCCGTAAGTGTAGTGCGTGGGAGGTGGCGGTGATCTTGAATGGCGAAATCCGGCGCCGACCTACCGTCGGAGAGTGGGGTTTTCCTGAACCAGATATCTCCCACCAGCGGGGTGACGCCCCCAGCCAGGGCAAGCCCTAAGCCCCCGACCGGCATGTGTGTTTGTGTAGTGCACGTGTGTATAAGGGTCAGGGCAAGGCAGAGGGAGGGAAGATCGCAGTCAGCAGTTGGGGCTTGTGGCAGGGGTTGATTCCCGCTCCGGTAGCGGATGTGTTACGCTGGGGGGGGGAGGTATTTGGGGGAGAAAAATTCTCAGGTCGATGAAAATCTCCCGTTCCAGCGAGGGGGCACCGGCGCCTCTAGAGAAATAAGGTGCACTACACTTACGGGTCGAATGACCGTAGCACTTGATGCGCTCGTGGAAGGGTGGGGAGGCAGCTCAAGCCCCAGTCGTGAGCGGGGTGAGAGAAGTGGCCGTGGCGGTGACGGGGCGGCGGGGTGCGCAGGTGAACCTGCTGGAGGAGCGGCACCGGCTGGTGCTGGCGCTGGCGGGCCGCGCGCCCGACGCGCTCTCGGAGGGCGAGGCGGCGCGCGTGGTGGCAGCCCTGCAGCGCGCCGCGGGGCTGCTGGCCGGCGTGGAGCGCCTGGCGCCGCGCACCGCGCGCGCCGCCAACGGCTCCCTCGAGCTCGACCCCGCCGGCACCGACGTCTGGTTCTACCTCGTCGACCCGCGCAACGACTCCGTGCTGGAGCGCGCCAGCGCACGCGTGCAGCGGTGAGTCCGTCCCCCCCCTCTCTCTCTCTCTTCTCCTTGTCCTTCTCCCCCACCTCCTCATTTCTTCCCTCCTCTCCTACTCTTCTTTTAGTTATTACCAAATAAATATATTCGGTGTAGATTGCAAATAGTTATTTATATATATTCTTTTTATTGTTTTGTGCCCAGATTGATGCTTTCAATAATTTGCTGTCCTTTTTTCCTGATTTTAGTTCTATCTTGTCTCCGGGAGGAGTGTCTAATATAACTCATGAAGTAGCAATGGAGTTGGCTGCAGCAGCCACAGTGGTTGGACTTCATGAGCCATTGCAGGAACCAGTTAGGACACCCACCACTGCAGTAGCTGCTGTAAATTGGGATGTTTTTCCATATGCTCTTATTGTCATTGCAGTTGTAATCCTGGTACTTGGAGTAGCCGGCATTGTGTACATCTGTATATCCTGGTCAAGGTATTCATGATCAATTTTTTCCTTTGTTTCTGTGTTATAACTTTCTGATTTCTGTTTAAGAACATTAATTCTACAGTGATGGGGGTATTTTTTCTAGAAAAATGAACAAATACTGTGGAATATCAATCTAAAGTTATAACAATTCATTAAAGCTCTAAAGTGACCAATAGAGTAGATTACGAATTAGGACAGTCATATACTATAATTTATGTCAAATTGTAGTCTATGACTGTGCACAATATTTGAGCTTAGATATTGAACAAATCCTTCTTGGAAATCAGTTTTAAACAGAAAAGTTGATTCTATCAACTCTTATCTAAGCATTCTTGCTACAAACTCTGTGTATATGCTCCTAATTCTTTTTATGGGAGATGATTGTAATTTTCAATTATGAATTAATAGTGCTAATTGTTCCTATTATTTGTATTGGTTTTCTTTGGCCATTTCTTGAAAAACTTGCTTCACCAAACAAATGGCGGGGGATTAGTTAAAAATTTGTATCATCAAATTTTAAATGTGTAGGGCTGAAAAATGTTTCTGTAGTTTTGGTACCAACAATGATAACCATGTGAGTGAGAGGGATGACCTTGAGATGTCTTTAACTTTATAAAAATACAAGTTTTTTAATGGCTAATGGACCATAAAACACCTTGTATTGTGATCTAACGCCTAAAAAAAAATGTGGAGCAATTTTTGAGAATGTATTGTTTGAGCAGTTTTGAATGTGTACCTTCTTGAATTGTCTTGAAACTTTAAAGATTTCCAAAAACTTCATAAGAGATTGTTTGAAGCATTTGTGTTCACAAATTCAAAAATTATAAAATGAATTTGTAATTCATGTAAATATTTGCAAGATGAACCAAAAATAATATGCATGTCTAATATTTCAAAAATCAAAACTTATAATCAGAATGGAATTATGTCACATAACATAGCATAATATCTGTACAAGAAGTCCAAAGATAAAAAAAATTACAGCTGTATTTGAGAATATCTGGTTCAGGAATGTTTAAAAAGTTGTCCTTATTTGATTTAAAAATTAAGTGACAATTTTTGTAAGGTAATTTGTATATAGCAAGGTTTAAAGATCAAATATTAAAGAATTGATTGCAGTAAGAAAATTCTAATTTCCATAGTGCATGTGTAAGACAGTTTCAAACATTTTTTTAAGTTTTGCAATTTCAGAGGTTTTAATTGAAATCATACATATTCAAAAGTGCACTGTTCTCTATTAGTTAGCAAAGAAATCAAAATAACTTTTCTTTGGAGACAGCTCACATGTTCAATCACTCTTGACTAAACATATTTCTCCATAGCTCATACTATTCCTTGACTTGATCCTTAACTTTTCTTGCATACAGTATTATTTATTTGAACATTTTTTTAAAAAAATATTGTTTTTAATATTTTAGGTATAAAGCATATAAGGAACGAATGCAACGAATGTATGTAGTGCCCCGGTATGATCCTGTTTTCGTTGAACCAAATCTCAAAGAGTATGAAACTCAAGTAAGTATTAAGTTTCTAAAAACCTACTGCAACCAATTAATTAAGAAATGAATATTTTTTTAAAAATGAAGTTCAGTAGTAATCACTTTATGATAAAACTTGATGATTAATCAAATTCAACAAGTTATGTGTTTATTTCTTGTTTTCCAGAGAGAATGCATTTCTGATATTCTCATTTATTAATTGATTCAGTTAATACAAAATTTGGCAGAAATATATTTTATTCTTAAACTAATGTTTTAAAATATTGTGATATATCATCATTTAATTCTTATTTCTCACAGGTTTTGCAGATGAGTGTACCATTAGATGATAGTGACAGTTACAATGATTTGCAACTTGATTTCTCCAGTAAGAATCATGCTTTTAGCCTTGACAGTGTGAGCTACCTCACCAAAGATCACAACGAAGACAGTATAGGTATGATCAGCTTGAGTTTCATTATAAAAAGCATTTTAATTTTATTATATAAGGGGGAATATAGAGTGGGGGAAAAGTGAAGCCAGTTCAAATTATTAACAATATTTGTTATATATTATTATCAAATATTATATTTTATGTCTCACAATGTTGTTATGCATTATTTCCATGTATAGGACAACAAAGTCCAGCCAGTTCAGAGGCTGCAACAACAGCAAGAGCCTCTAGTGTTGTGGGAGCAGGTTTAAGTGATCCCATGAATGCTCCTGATCCACCTTTACTACCTGGAAGCTTTTCACGGTAAGAATTTCCTTGCATTGTAAATCAATTATTATTCATAAACAAAGGAGGGATTAAAGCGGAATACTCAAGTACCTTTTACTGTGCGATTATTTCTTCTCATACAAAACAAAAACAAGTACAATGTATAATTGAAGACATTTTTTATATATTTTTAAACCAACAAATTTTACTATTGACTGTTCACAACAATTTTGACACTTTTTCTTGTATTCAAATCATAGCATAATAAAATTTTATTTAATGCCTTGGTTTCTTGTAGGTCAAGATGGGAACAACAATACTTCGTAAATGATTAAAAGTATTATATTCTTGAATATTACTTAAAAATTAGTATATCACACTATCCATCAATTTTTAAAATGTATTTGTGTTCCAGTGCATCTGATGAAGACTTTGCAGCACTCAGTGCTAGTGCCACTAACGAGAACGTAGCCTTCCGTGAGAAGAAAGACTATTCTCATCTAGGTTTTTCATACCTGGGGGACAAAAATGCAGTGGAAACTACAACAGAACTCTAACCCCAAAATCAATAATAGATCTCGTACCCTGAACAAGACAAAATCTACAAATATTATGTCATTTGGAAAAGTTCTTGCACTAATTTAATGCCATTTCAGATGACATTTTGATTCTCAGAGATTACTCCGGTAGATTATTGAAGTGCAGGATCTACAATGAAATTGTCAGATGATCAACGAGTGTAGAGAACTATTAAAAAGTCACTATTGAGTGACATACTGTAATTACTTTTCTTCCACCATTCTTCAAGCAACTCAGACAATTTGCATTTTTAAACCATATTGTGTCCAGTTACCTGGTACAAGTTGAAAGCATTGTAAACAAGTCTGACTTTGCCATACAGTACAGCACATGTAATGTGCTTGCAATGAACAAGTGCCATCCCAGATACGTTTGGGGTATTTTCAGCTGTGCTGACAACTCAACAAGCATATTAGATTTTTGGGTTTCTTTGCACTGAAACCCAAGCTGCAAGGACCTCAGAAATGCTCTCTGGGACAGTGTAGCATTTAGCCACCTCCAGAAGTTACCTGATGATACCTGGGCAAAAAGAGTAGTGAGTATGTGGTCTGATGTAAGGAATCACTTTCCTTCTGCACAACAATGAGACTCATTGCTGGACATTTGGAGAAGCATAGAGTGTGAATGTGTGTTTGGTCAGAGAAACTTAGTGTAATGTGGTATTTGTGTTAATGAGTGTTTGTATGCAGCAAGCAAAGAATGATGTCTCATTGACTCAAGTGCCCACCAAATCCTCTCGTTGTCCAGAGAGGTAGAACTCTGTATTTCATGTTGTTGAATTACTCTGTGCCTTTTGTATAACAGCTAATTGATAAAATAAACCATTTTTATTCTGTTTCACTGTAATTTTATTGTCACTATGCTGCCACCTCTTTCCCGCTTTTATTTTTATTATTTATTCAGATTCAATGTTTTCAATATTGTAGTGTTATCCTAGGGAACGGGATTTATTGTAATTAAAAACGTAAAATTTGTGCATATATATGTACTTATACTTTCACAAATTTGTAAGAAAAACTAGAAAATATGTAAAATAAAAATTCGCGAAAATGATTAAAATTGTCCAACAGTAATATTCTTAAATTTTCGAACACGTGTAGCCCCTCAGATCAGACTATGGATTCGGAGCAGCTGAACGAATCTTTTATCTCTACAGCTGTAATTGAACACTGGTCTCCAGCACACAGCAGTGGTTTTCAACACAATAGGCACGTGGAGTTCAATACGATATTGTTTATGAGAATCATGTAAACAGCCTCGCTGGGCGGCTTATTGGGTAGTGACACTGTGCCATGCCAAGGAAGGAGAAGAAAATTTTCACCCAAATATGTGGATAAAATATGCTTTCTTAAAACTTTTCCTTCCAGTAATTCATTTGAACAAGCATTTAGTCCTTTGATGCTCTATCAATACACTCTTCAAACGCCCAGGGCAGAGTGAGGTGCTATCTGTCGGCCTGTTTCCTGAGCCACCTACGGATACATATTGGTAAGTGAAAAATGTATTTTATTCTAATTAGATTAAATGCATGCTTACAGTGATGTCTTTTCAATGTAAATCTAACCTCAAAAGATTTGGAGAGAAAACTCAATATTTATATAATGTTTCTATTGGATTCAATTGCCAATGGAGGTAGCATTAAAACTGTATGGTCACAATTTTTGGTCAACTCGTCTATGACATTTGTCCTGAACGTCGTACTTTGCAACAATTCTAAGGAATTCCACTCGAATCATTGTGCTGTCTACAGTTTTGTTCGTTGCACGCAGCCAGTCAATAATTCGCTGCTTCCGCCACGATTTCTTGGAAGTGTATCAACTTTCACACTGGGAGGACAATGCTTGTCGTTTGTCAGTAATTTTTGTATAAGTCCAATTTTTTCTGAAGTATGACTTTCGTTTACCCACATTTCATCGAAGGGATCTATTTTCCCCGTGCCGGACATTTCTTGTCGTAAACGACGCATTGTTATCAAATAATTTCTTCTCCACAAAATAATGTCATCCATATCTACAATAACATTCTTGTTCCTTCTCACAAATTCAAATCCAATATCTTTGAGGATGCTATAAAATGACGTCCTCTTGAAATTGGGTAAGTTAGCATCAGCATTGATCACTGAAAGAATTTCACTTACAGTAGGCAACTCGTTTTTTAGGAAAAAGTCATGCACCGTACGCCTAATACAAGTTTTCACGAATTCGTCTCACTCGTCTTGCACTGGATTTCGTCGTTGTCGTTTCTTCCCTGGGGAGACAAGTTTCCCTGTTGTACTCACCTCCCGGCGGCACAAATGATGACGTATTAGTTTGTATGTCACGAATGATTGCGTTATCACACATTCAGCCAATCGTAGCGAATCGGGGAAAGGTAGTGCTTAACGGAACAGCCGACCACCGATTGCTAGCACGATGTCAAATACCCGAGACGTCAAAGGGAGTTGTTTCTCAAAATTAAGTTTCTCTTGTAAATGTATAATGCTGTCATAAAGAAAAGAAAAAAATAAAAAAGAAGAAGAAGAAAAAAATAGTATGCAACTCGTTTATAATGTTGCTTTATTACATTCGTACAAATTTGAAAACTCGCTCCTAAAGTCGCTCTTTTTCAAAACATGTACAGAGAGTATATACTCATGTACAACATGTACTCATTCAATATAGCTTACCATTATAATCTAATTGCGTAAACTACTATTTCAGCAAGTGTTAATGGTTTACCTCTCATAAGTTTTGTGAAAGAAGGCCCTGCCACCGCATCCGCCATGATAACACGATGCGTACGCACAAAAAATAACAACTTATTCGAAGATACTGCGCCGGTCTTGCCGCATCAAACGAGTAAAACAAGCTGAGCTATCGCTCACGGGCCCCATCGAACGCTGCGCTTGTAGTCGACCGCCGATAATACTGTCAGCATCGGACGATAGGTAAAAGATTTCGTCGCCGCCATTATTCGACTTCGCATTCATGCGAGACCGTATATTTCAGAACAGTGACCCTATTTAGAATTCCTAGTAATCGTTTTCTGGTTCTACAATTTTTTCTCTAACTCTAAACACCTTGAGTTTTCAAAGTTGCTTCTAAAGAATGAAAATATAATTTCAACAAGAACTATTTCCAGAAGCGAAACGCTACACAAACACATCCGCAGATCTAAGCAACCAATAAGAGGGTATAGTGAACACGTGAATTGGTTTACAACAAGGCTGAACTGACCTTAGAAGATACGGGGTTTCGACCAACAGTGATGTGACGCTGACTGTCGCATCTTGGACTTCTCGTTGACGCTTCTGCTTCCAAATGTTTCGCCATCGCCTCCTTTGAGCAATATATGTATGTATGTATGTATATATATATATATATATATATATATATATATATATATATATAAACCCTATGTTAATCCCAGTGGTCCCGTGCTAACGACTGTGGCCGCCATAGCGGGTTGGGGGAGATGTTTGACCACACAACTCACGCATGATTGCGAACGGTCCTGATCCAAAAAGTGATTTAGGAGACGCGGGTTATATTAGAGACCGGAAAAATATGTAGTATTAAACATCAAGTCATGTACATAAATATATAGTGAAAAAAGGGAGAATATGTACTAAATATGTAAAATCAGTTATAATACGTCATATTAAAATACACTACTTTTAAAACACATTTAGATAATACAAAGTTACATTTATAAAAAAGCTTTTTAAACGAACTTAGAAACGTTTTCAAAATCATTCGGAGTGCACACACTTCACATCATACTACTTCCCCGTCAGCTGTAAAAGCCTCATCTGCTATCCTGGACCGTAGTTTAGCAGCTAGACTATACGCAATCGTATGAGCTGGCGATATCTATCGTACGGTCAAGAAACAATCTACAGCGTACAGCATTCTAATTAAAGTGCTAAAAGTCGGCCATCGCCAAAGGTTCTCGGAAATTAAAGTTCAAGGTCACGAATCGCGGCGTCGGAGATTCTTTTCACACCTAAAGGTGAAAATGATCTCGGTCGCTGACATATACTTACTGTCACAGAGATAACCGAAGCAGGCGTGGCGAGAACATCCTGATGAAATCCTGAGAAAATGCGGAATTTATAAAAATACTTTTCATAAAAAAAGATGTAATAAAAACGAAGAAAATTGATAGAATAAAAATATTTTGTGAAAATAGCAAATATTCAAATTAACTTCTCCCCGTAGCACGTCACACATAGTTTTTAACTGTTTTTGATGTAATTAAATAATAAAATTTCATTTCAATTTTTAGAACGATAAGAAGAAAGACAAAAAATATGTAATTACATAAAAATCCGGTCTCTAGTTTTAAGTACTGACAAAGAACTCTTACCTGACATAGCTGGTAATAATTCTTTGTTGCCAGGTTATTCAGTGTATTGAGTGTTATTGCGAAAGTGATGAGTGGCAGTGAATTTTTATTATTTATTGCGAAAGTGATGAGTGGGAGTGATTTTTGTCCGTTGTTTGCACAAGGCATAGCTAAGTGAAATTTCTTGAGATTTGGTTAGAATTGGATGGTATGTAGATTAGCATGTTTGTGCACATTTGGCCGATTTTTCCTACTTGTGCATATTCGTGTAGGCTAATTATAGGGCATATTTTGCATATTTTTTAAAATAGAGGCTTATCTAAAAACGTTTCAACTTTTCATACGATCTATTTTATTTGCAAGCGTTCATCGATTACACAGAGCTTGACACAGTTTGATTTTTTCTTTTCTATAGATGATAAAAAACTCGGGCAAATATAGGAAATTTCTTGATATCATTTGTTAACCAGGCAGAAGAAATGCAACAAGACATACCATGTACTAAGGTAAATATTTACTTTAATTATTTCTCCCGCGAAGTAAGGTAGATTATATTGTGTTTGCACAAAAATATATCTTGACATTCCAAGCACGCTTCTCCTGAATTTTATCAAAAAAAGTTAATGCAGGAAATTAAATATTGTTAATTTTAATTGCATATATAAGTGCGTATTTGAGAATTTTGATGTCGTACATGCATATTTTTAAAAGCATATTCCAAGATACTATTTTAGCGCATAAAATATTCTAGTTCATTCCTTTCCCTAGAGATGAGTTTTCTTGAAAATGCATTAAAGAGCTGCATAACACGTACTAACATAAAGAAAATCGTATTTTTGAATCGCTATAATTAGAAGTCAACAGTTTTGGTGCGAAAAGATGCGAGATGGCAAGCACATGTTGTGTAGAAGAGGTTGAGTTACATGAGGCAGGAAATAGTGAATGAAAACTCCCAATGTCCTTTAAAAGGTTTCAAAAACTATGTTTAGTTCTCAGGAACGCTATAAGATAACGGCAAATCGACCTCTAATAAAACAATTAGGTGTATTGTTCATGTTTCAATGTACTTTTGTGTATTATTGTTTTGATTATTATTGTCAGAGAAAGTAATGCAAAATTAGCAATTCTCAAGGGTTCTCAAAGAAGGTGCAGTTGGTATGTATATCATGATATGGAAGCATATACGTAGTACGATGTCAATTAGGTAGTTTAATTGGTCTACCTTGTTTAATCCGTAAGACTCGGATCGCATCCACATGCTCGTTGGACAGGAGACACCGCAGGGTGAAACCTTATTTGTATGCCAAGTCTCGTTTGAGTACACCAGGGCTCAACACAAAACTAAGAAATTACATTATTGAACTTTTGCGTGTCGTCACAATGCAAATGAAGACCAGGGAAGTTCTACAAAATGAAAGATGTGGAAATTGTTCAAAGACCTCCAATTACTGCACACCATGTGAGGCGCCAATCTACAGAAGGCACGGAAAACTCAACTGTGATGACTGAAAAGTG